GTAGTCAGTGAGTAATTAAACTGCAGTCAGAGAGAGACGTATTGTTGTAGTTAACGTTCGTTCGTTATTATAGTTTGTTATAACGCGATTGTTGAAGTTGAGTGTATCGTAGAGTTGTATTCGGAAAGAATAAACCAGTTTTATTAAGTAAAGACTTGTGTCGTTAAAGTTTCGTCGGAACGAAGTTACGGAAAGTTAATTAACAAACGGAGACGTAACAATATGATAATGGATTCCTAAATGCGACAGCATAAGCATGTTTTCTATTATGCATTTAAACCAGTTTATATATATCTAATTATGTACACGAATTGGATACACACGTAAGACGGACCAGTTTGGGATGGATAGTTCCATTTATTGAAATGTTTTTCCAGTTGATCCTTTTGGATTCTTAAATGTTCCATTTTTAATTTCCGTCAGTAATCCATGGGTGTCCGCAGAAATTTTTCCAGGGGTTGGGGCAAAGTAGTGTGAAATTGTGAACTGAATAAAAAAAATTCATATACATATGCTGAATTGATAATGAAAGAGTTATGTTTCTAATTTTCCAGGGGGTGGCGATTACCGCCCCCCCCCCGCGGACGCCCATGCAGTAACATGTGACTTTACTATACTTGTACCCATCTGAATACTTTGAGTTTCTGTCAACTGCAAATCAAAAGTAATAACTGTGTTAACTGAACAGGAAAATTACCGCACAGATCAAAATAACTTAGCATAGCATAGCCTTAGCTACTTACTCTAAAGTTGGCTGCATCAGGAGATATAACGTCACTACAGTACACCCGCCTATAAGAAAAAAAAAAAAGAGAAGAGACAGTTGAATGCAAAGTTTCAAGTCGTGAAACATTTATTTAAAGTGACTCAAGGGTAAACAAAAACGACAGTTGTTCAGCATTTCTTGACAAACTCCTACTCGATAAGTTGTTCGAAAAAATTCACTCATCCTAGTGAAATCAATAACAGCTAATTTAAATATTCGTTTTATTTGATGATAATTATTATTTGCATATTTCTGTATAACTACCCCCCCCCCCCACCACACACACAAAAAGAATGGATGCCCCAGTTTTAAGATTTGAAAATTTAGTCGTCCTACACACCTGAGAGTATAGCTTTTGAGTTTAATAAAGAATTTCTGCTTGAAATACTGACATGAAGTATATTTAGTATAAAACAGTAGTGAGTATTTGTCCCGCTAATATATGAAACAGAATATTCGGTGTTTTCTTAATGCTAGTAAATAATATACAGTTTGGTCGCAAATTCGAATATTTGTGGGAATGTAATATCTCGCTGAGAAAAAGACAAGAAATTGCTTTAGTATCGCCACCAGGAGAGTGCACCCATTATTTTCACTGGGTTATTGAAGGAATATATTTCAGCTAAGGTAGCCGAGATGTTTGTAGATTATGTGAATCAATTTTGAAAAGATCGACACTGTTCGTTGAAAATATTGTTTCAGAGTAATCTTGATGTAGAAATGTTTGATTATTACAATTTAAAACTTTCGCGATATCATTAAATATTTGTTACAATATTATTTCTGAACCAATAATCGTAATTCACAAACTTTGTTTTCACCAATTTTGTTGCAGTGTTAGAATTTGTTCACAAATACAGTTTGGTAGACATCGTCTTGCTTTACTGTAAAATATCCGTGTTTCTGATAGTAACTCTAGCACTTTACTGTAAAATATCTGTGTTTCTGATAGTAACTGTAGCACTTTACTGTAAAATATCTATACTTCTGATAGTAACTCTAGCACTTTACTGTAAAATATCTGTGTTTCTGATAGTAACTGTAGCACTTTACTGTAAAATATCTATACTTCTTATAGTAACTGTGGCACTTTACTATAACACCCATAAAATATTTAAAAAAAGTACACATTTCTGGCAAAAACCATGTCATTTTATCGTTAGCACATAAAAAAAGGCAAACTCTTTAAAATCTTCAAACCATTTCAATGTTAATACACAAATACAACAAGTAACGTCTTATTAATATATTTCAGTGTTAATATACACAAGATACAGTAAACATAAAAAAGGGCACCTTTGCATGTTTTTTTTAAGTTAATACACACAAGATACAGACAACATGGTTCGTAAAGACCTCTGGAACAATTTTCCAGGACATTTTTCAACTTCTGAAGTAGTTTCCATGACTATTTTGTATGTTTATTGCATATAACTACATATGATAAAGAAAATCACATTATAAATATCTTTTAATAACAAAGTACAGCTGTAATAACTTATGACAGTGTCAAAAATAAAGATAACTTCTGAGAATTAAATAAAAAACGTACAGATATACCAGCCAATCAGTGCTATTTTCTCTAAGTAAATGCAATTAAATTGTTATAATTCCTACAATTTTTCAAGCTTTTAAATTAACTCTTGACCAACTTTTCTACTTCATCTGCTTTTTCTCTTGCTGTCCCTCCTTGGGGGATTATTCTGGGTTACAAAGACGATCTTTTTCAGTAGTCTCAGCCTTTTTGTACAATTATTCTTCATTTTCATCAGATTCAGTTCTTTTCTTATTCTTCTATATTTCATCAATTTCCTCCAACACATATTTTCTTCTGTTCATCTTTGTCTGTGTTAAAGCAGACTCTAGTTTCTCAAATAACTGTTTGTGGCTATGTGAAGAGCATAGATGGAGTTTTCAGTGTCAAATTAAATGAGCTGTTGTTCTCAACCAAAATTTCTAAACAAAGGTATGAAAACTGTTCCAATGAAGAGAAATTTTTGTTGATACTAAAGTTTCCTTCTACTGCAGCCTGGCCATGTGAGAATATCACAAAACTTTCTATACCGTTCATTGCTTACAGACATACATT